CCAGGCATCACTATGCCAGGCCTTGGTTCGTACCGTCTGAGTCTGGTCGCGGCGCGCGACTTCTCGTGCTTCCATGTCGGCCAAGACGTTGGAAAGATCGGCAAGCTGTCGCCTGGGAGGCAGAATTGCTCGAACTCCGAAGCGCTTGAGCTTGCAGCATGTTGTAGACTGGAAAAAGCTGCTTTCTCAGCTTCACACTCCCTCTGCCGGAGCTGGCCGTGTGCATCCTCCAGCTGTGCGCGCAGCTCCGTCGCTTCACGCTGGATATCTCCATCCTGCAATCAGACAAACGAAAAGCAGCCAACCGACACGCCTTCCGTCACTGGCAATCACAGGAACTCGCCTTGGGACTTGCCATCGGCTGACTTTCGACAGCGAGCGGGGAATTTTGAAGGAGCACTCCTTCGCCTGCCCAGCGGCAGCTTTTGACTTACGAGTCCTCGCACAGGAGCCCTGACTTCTCCACACGGTGAGCCTGCCACCACTGCCTCAGCCTGCTCGGTCGGAGCACCCTCCCTGCTGGCCGTTGATGTGGCAGTGTCATGCTCGCACTGCCTCAGCTAGCACAAAGACTGTTAGATCTTTGGAAATAGGTATACAGGACCGGAAGGAAAAGGCTTCTCAACGTCAGTCTGGCAGGGTACTTGTTCTTGCCAAGTTGCGGGCCCGGATGCTGCGCCAATCCGTCGCCCTCCGTGACGGCTTCTGGTGAGGAATCTGCACCGATCCCTTCCTCACCGAGCTGTTCCTGCCCTCCGGCTTCCACCGGGACCTCGCTCGCTTCTGGAACGTTGGCCGATTCCGCTCCGGATGGCTGGGGTTCGGCTGCCGCTGCCTCGGCCTGGGCGGCCTCTACGTAGGGAGAGGCCGAGGGCTCTGCCGGCTCTGCCTGCGAGCTCTCCTCGAACTCGCGGCTTTCTCTGCTCAAGTCGGGCGTTGGGTCGGCGGACCACGCAGGCTCCTGAGCGGACGTGGCGGCCTCCTCAGGCTCCTTCGCCGGCTCCGCGGGCTCCGCGGGCTCAACAGACTGCTGCACTTCCCCCGGTTCGGCGAAGGGGTTCCCATCGAAGGGATTCCCTTGAAAGGTTTCCTCGCTGACGCCGGCAGGCGCAGCCAATTCGGAGGTGGGACGTGCAGGAATAACCGCATGGTCTGCCGGCTCCTCCTGTTTGTGTCGGCCAGATCACTGAAAGACATCACAGGGCGGCCACGGAGCTGGATCAAAAGCAAAAGGACAGAGAGAACAAGGAATAAGCAAGCTGGTATGTGATTGTCCTTGCATGTCTGCTTGCGAACCGTCTTTACAGAGAGACGTGGACGCTTCTAGGACGCCCCTGTCCTCTCCCCCTCTTGTCTTGCCGCTCTTTCTTTGTGTTTCCGTTTGTCTGCCACAATGAGGCCAATAGACGGGCCGAGAACATTTTTTTAGAAAGAGAGCGGGAGAGACAGCAGCTGCAGCGTCCGCTCTCAAGCAGCACTCCTGCACAACGCGGTCGGCTGATGCCTCCGTAGCACCCCCAGCACCTGTGCAAGCGTCTTGATTTTCCAAGATTCATCGTTCCCAACTGCCGGCCTTGTTCTAACGCATGCACGGTCTGGAGCTCCCGTGGTGCTTGTCCACCCTGGGGTCGGAACGAATGCAGGAGCTCTTCGCGGCATCGTTTCAGTGCGATGTAGTGATGTACAGTGCCTCGCCATCCACGCTGTCCTCGCTGAAGAGACGCCGGCGCTGGCCCTCCGCATTCGAAGATCCCTGAGTAGTGGGCTCTGCTCCTGATGAGTCTGTCCCAATGCTCTTCAAGAGACATGCCACTCGGAATTGAAGAAACCTCGCCTCGTGCCCATCCCAACCACTTCTCTGCCACCCCTCGGAAAGCCAAACAGATTACTACCGAGCAGAGGCAGTTTCAGCTCACTTTGTCAACGCGTCAATGCGTACGAGGCTCCGTCCAGTGAGGACTCCAGGTCCAGAGCCGGCCCTTCTGCCTTCGGATCATCAAGCTCGGAGAGAAACTTGTACCTGAAGGCGAGCAAGCGACTATAGGTGCGTTGGGAAGTCATAAACCCGACACCCTTAGAGCTGAAGCTGAGATGCCCCTTGCTGAACAAGTCCATGCTCTGGCTTTCAAGTCAAAGGCATTCCAGACAGGCCGGTCTTAAGGCTTTTGTTCGTAATGCAACTATGCAGGAATGGAGCCCCACAAATCCTGGATTGCGCTGTGTTCATGGAGCTGCGAAGGAGTCGTACTGCTCTTCAGCTGCTAAGCTTTCGGCTTGACTCATAGCAGCGAAGGATAAAAGCTATACTCGGTAGCTCATCTCCGTCGGCTGCGAGGACAAACAGCTTTCTGACACTGCAACCGCACAAGACTTTTTCCACCTGCCTGCGATTGCATCCTCGGCGTCCTCACTACGGACTTTGCGAGCAATGGCGACCACTTGGACGTCAGTGACATGCGAAATTGCTTGGTGCATTGCGAAACGAACAATCACAACTGTTGACCAAGTGAGGGAACCTAAGACGCGTCCATTCATCCGATCTCTCTGGCATAGAAGCTGTCACAACTCACCACTGTTAACCCTAAAATATGCATCAACAAGACAGCACAACTACGCTTGCACAATCGCTGCCATTCCCACCACTCACAGCTGTTAGTCGTCCTTCTCCTTCCTCAGATTGCATTGCGTTGATACCTCCCGATGCCTGCATCCCCTTACGCTGCATGCCCTTTAACTCGGAAAGCGATCTTTCAGGCACGTGTCGATCTGCACCAAAGGACGATTCCTCCAACCAGAACGGCCTTGGTGACTCTCGCACTCTCCGATCTGGTTCAAGAGCTTGGGAAATTCAGAGGCTGCGGCTGTCACACCCCACTTCAAGGGAGTGTCAAAGCGCAAGGCATCCCAGGCAGTGATCATCTCGACCTCCTTTTTTGGAAGCCGTGGAAGTGGCAAAGCTGCGCTGAAAACTTTGCTCGGCTCCTGGCCTCCAAATCTCGAGGTTTCAGGTCACCACCAGGTGTCACCGTCAACCAAGGAACACGGTAGGTTGGCGACTTCCTGAGCCTGACAAGCGCTTTCAACGCTCCACGCAGAAGAGGAGGAACTTGGGTGCACGGCTTGGTTCTGGCATAGATAATCGGTGAATTGGCATCCTCGTCTCGAAACTCGGTCAGATACCTGCATTGGGCCCAATGATGGTTAATCCACGGCAGAGTGCCGCGCTGAGTGCAAAGGTCATGCATGACTGTGGCGCGAACCAGCTGTATCTCTTGCCGTCGAGAGAGGCGTGGACTAGAGCAAGCTTCACCTGCGTTGCACATGCACATCTCAGGTCACGTGACAAGCTGCTTTCTGAGACACATGCTTCTCATTCCACGTGGCCTCTTTCGCTGTCGTGTTGTAAGCGCTGCACCCGAGCGTACAACTGAAAACCATCGTCTGCGCATCGCTCAGGAGCTACAGCTGCGGGCGGCTACCAGTAGCAGTGGCAACACCGCAGGCCTTCTCACGCTGCTCCCAAGGAACGAAGCGGTCGAAGCTCTTGTGGTAAAACAGCGGCTCGAACCTCGAGGTAGCGCCGTTGCAACAGATCGCCACAGATGGCCATTACAAAGGTCTAGACTGGTAGAAGCCGTTGAATTGAGCAGCCTTCGAATCCGGAGCAACACCCGTGAGATTGCATCAAATGGATCGACAGGTCATCCCACCTCTGCGGCCGCGATGACTGGCAGTGAGTTGTTGTCAAAGGAAATCCTATGCAGCAGTTGCAGCAGGAAGACTCCAGAAGCCTTACACGTAAGCAAGCTGAGAGCACGGGTCAAGGTCCACTTTGCCCAATCCTCGCAAGATCATCACCTGCGACGGAACATCTTCGCGAAATGAGCGAGGTACCCTAGCAGACCACCGAAAACGTACCTTTTCACTGGCAGCCAGCACTTGTCAGTATTGCGGCTGCGTTCTTGTGTGCGCCGAATTCGTCTCCACACACGTTGCAGGTCCAGCGAACAAACGACGTCTCTTGCCGAAACCACACTACAGGGCCGAAACCACACTACAGGTCAAACAGCGGGAATGTGACGCCCCGTCCTCATACTGTCTTTGAAGAATAGGACCCTTGTTTCGCTGCGACACTGCTGGGCTATGCCCTCGGTGAGAAACAGGCTTGAAGCCTGTCACACGCGCAGCAGAATTAGTTGTGTGTGATACGGAATATGTCTGAAGTGCTGGGTCTTGTCACTTGGAAGTACGCTGCATTCCAGAACATATTACTGACAAACATGCAAAATGCAAGATACAGCAATATGAAGAAAGTTGCAAACCTGAAAGAATCGGCCGCAAAAGCATACCTACAGCATCGGGACTAGCTGAACATGTTCATGTTGATATGGCCGGGACACGAATGGATGGACTGGAAGTGGGAGAGACCTTATTTGCCGTATCGCAAACATCTCCTGAGCACGATAAATTCGACTTGAATGGTTATGTTTGCATATGTTTGCCGCTTGTGTCATGATTATTCATGATTCCTTCACAATGCAGCTTGTGCCATGTTGCCGCCGATTTCCGCTTAACTTTATACTTTATACCAGACTTGCAATTTCTCTTGCAAGGCTGTGACATGACAGCAATCACTTTCCAACAAGTCGTAAGAATAACTCTGAGCAACATGGGTTTAGCAAGCAAGAACCACAATGCACCGAAGAATAGCACGCCAACGATCGCAAAACGAGATAGTGACTAGTGGTGAGCTTTCCAACAACAAAAGACGACGACAATAGACCAAGCAGCAACAACAACAACAACCACCACCACCACAGTGATGAAGTGCGAGGGGAAGAAACGGAAGAAACGGCAAACACCTCGCTGCCATGCGCTGCCTCGGCTTCGTCCCCTGATGCTTCCTTTCTGTTCTTGGTTCCTGTGCTCCTGCCCTGCACGACCACAACAGTAGTTCTCCATGTGTTAAAACTTCGAAACAGCCTGCATAAGAAGACGAACGACCTTTACGACCACGCTAAAAATAGCCGGGGCAAAGGACTCATTGCAAGGACCAACGACTTCTTGCTTCATAATGCGACAAAGATCACCAGGCTGGGGAATTCCCAGCGAATGTAGCCACAATCTTTGCAGAAACCGACAAGATTAACCTGGCTTACTCGACACCAAGCGAACACTTCCACAGAAGGCTGGCTGCACAGCCACGTGCTGAGGATGTGACATGTGCTAACAAATGTCTGTGCCACAAATGCCTATCAAAGGCTTTTCGGAATGCTCAGTGTAAATCCTGCTGACGCAGCTATGATAAGATCGGGTGAGACTGCTTGGCTGGCTTGGTGTGCGTCGTGTTCCTCGTTGAAGCTCTGAAGCGACCGACTCGAAGTCCTCTACCAGCTTCACCTGAAGTGACCTGCACGAAAGGTCCACACTTCCGACTGTCGGCCCTGATGAATGGGATAGAAAGGACAACATGACACAGAGGCAGAGCGACGATGTAAATACGCCTCTTCTCTCAGGCTCCAAGGTGTGAGCCTCCAATCACAGATGCTGCGGCTGTAAACGACAAGTCAAATTCTGGAACCTAGGCACCGTGGCTGGGTACCTGTTCAAGATCGATGCTCGATGCTCACTGAGGCCACAGCTGGACTGAGCGTGGCAGAAGCCAATCCTCATGCGGGTCAGAACTTTGCAGATGAGCATGCAAAGCTCTAGTGCTTCCCAATTACAGAAGCAAGGAGGGACATGCCTTCGTGACCATACCCAGCACAAGCCAAGGTGGCTCGCCTGCTGAGCAACACGTGAAGGTTCCCTGGCCTGCCCTATGGCGTAGCAAGCCTTTGAGGAGACGTGGGTGGAGTCTCATCAAGCTGAAGGTACAGAAGGTCGTAGTGTCCTGGCCTGGGAGAGCAGCAAAACCGACACGACTGCTGGATGGGCCGTAATTCTGAGAGCACTGCCGCAGCTGCACATGGATCACGAATTGGTCCACCGGCTGTCCTTGGCAGGCAGGGCAATGCTTAGCACAGAGACTTGGACAAGTGCACGAGCCTTCGTCCACGGGCGGCATGTAATCTTCGAAAACAAGTCCAGCCTGCTCACTCCTGGAATCCGAAATAGATCCCCAAAAGCTCCACCATGGGACCGTTCCTTCGAAACCGACCCGTGTTTTGTTCGTGGGTATTTGCCCGTTTGTCACTAGTTGCTCTTTCCGATCGCTCTTTCTTTCGATGTATATAGATGTGTAGACATATGTATGTATATGTACACAGACATGTGCACATATGTATATACACATTACATATACATACGCACATACATACGTACGTACATAATTACATACACAGACATGATCGGATATTTGTTGTGTCTCTGCCAACAAACTGGCATATGTCATCACATACTCGTAGTTAGTGCCACAAACCAACTCTATATGCACAAGTATCCTCATGTTATGTGGTTGTATAATTCTTAGAAAACTGCACTCTGTGATATGGCACTCGAAAACAACATCGTACTAGAAACGAAGATGATCACCAAACTGCCACTGGCAACTTTCTTGACTAAATGCATCATTGGCAGAAGGATGTGTTACAAACAAGTGGTAGGGGTGAGCATGTGAAAACCCCACTGCACCTGAATCTCAGACAGCTTCACATTACCAACAATCCTGACTGCAAAACGGACTGTTAACAGATGTGCTTCTTTGCAGCGCGCGCCGGCCCCCAACCCCCGTACGATCTACACCTGCGCAGCATACCACTAGATTACTTCAACTCATGTCATTTTCACGTTGAACTGAATGAAACCAAACGTATGTGGGGTTGCATGGCCCGTTCGTTTCGTGTGTAAATATGTATAACAATGTATACACACATTGTGGATTTGCATACACATACACACATCTCAATGTAGTTCACGTCCTTTAGCATCACGTCCTAACATGTCATATTATCAAAGTGTGCTACTACATTGCATGAAGGTGTGACGGAGATATACGATTTAAAGGCTTCTACGCACCACTGCACTTGACGACTGGTGGCTTCCCGTTGCTTTCGTTTCTATTTGTTGGTTGCTTACTACGGAAGGAAAAGTAGGGCCGCCCTTTATAGCCGTGTCCTGTGAAGCAGCGCCAGCCGAAGCTTCACACCCAGGGCAGCGACGACGGCATTCATGACAACCTGCACACGCCAAGGCAGAGCAGCAAGGAATCGATGCCCTCCGAAACCTGGGGGGAGCACTGATTCAGCCTCGACATGCATCGGAAGCACTACCTCAACACCAGGACTTGTTGCCACAGCAGTCCAAACCCAAGCGGTGCGGCCCTGCAGACCTTTTCGCAGAAGTCCTCCGGCGTGCCCAGGCCTGGCAGACGAGCTGCACAGCTTCGATGGTGCAGGCTGATCGGCTCCATCACCCACATTTTTCTGCATGTATTCGGCGAGATGTCGGCCAAGCATCGAAATCCCTCCCGCAAGAGGACATGTTCAAATCTACTACACATAGATGGCCTCACTGACAGGCGTAAGCATGAACATACGCGAGTCATGCGAAGGCACCGCTTGGGCTGTGAAACTGTCCTCATGCTCGCCCAAGTCCTTGTGCATGTACAAACAACGGACCTTGCACTTCTGGCAAGTCAGACCAGGCACGTCATTGAATGTCAGAAGCAAGTCGTGCGCCGACTTGTCATGATTCATGAGGAGCACCGCAATCTTTCCATCGCCGACGGGCTTGTAGAAAAACTGCCATTTGGGTACTCTTCCCCAGTGGGGAACCACGATGCCTTGCAGCAACATGTTGAAGTCCTCAAGCTCCACATGAGATGTGGCTTGTTTGAAGGGGCTCCCGCTATGGCCGACATATGCTTGATTAACAGCGATGATTTCTTTGTTGGAGACAATGTCCCAGACCTCATCCATGATGGTATCGTTGTTGACATCCATGGAAAGCGTCAAGGGCGCAGAAACGATCGCCCAGGCGCTGAAATGGCTCCTGGCTTCCTGGTAGCTGAGGCCAGGGTCACTGGCACCTCCCGGGCCATGCTTGCAGCCAACCTCCAGCATGTCTGGGTATGCCCAGCATCCAGGCCTCAAAGGCAGTTTTGGTAAATCGAGGGTACATTCACTACACTTATCCGCCTTTGCCGATGCGGAGGCAGGGGAAGCAACTCAGCGACTTACAGGGAGCGCCGTGCCTGGATAAGTTCTTCTGGGCCCACTGCACAGTGGTCAGGAGGTTGCCGACCACACTGCCGTACGATGCTCGAACATCTGCAGATGTCCTGAAGAAGTTCCATGGGCACCACGTCTCTGTGGGCACAGTGTTGCCCCAGTGGCAGTTCTCGATCATAACCGCTCGTCCGGTCTTGTTGATGAGGTTTGCCCATTTGTCCAGATCGAGCTGGCGGCCACAACCATCCAGCTTTATTCCATCGAAGCCAAAAGTCGCCAAGGCTGCGACATCCTCCTCGTACATGGCATCGGTGGCCCGAGATTCGCGGCAGATGCAGTTGTTTCCGTACCACCCTGCCGACAGGCCCAACTTGTGAGCATGCTCTGTCATCGCTGTCATGTTGGGAAAGCGGGTGAGTTGCACAATAGGCTTGCCCGAATCATCATGGTAGGAGTACTTGTGTCCGGCATGACAGTCTTGCCAATTATCGTCCAAACCAACATCGCAGTAGCCCAGATCACAAAGTGATGTGGGGACTCCATCCACGGAGCGCTTCTTTGAAATCATGCCATCCATGATCTGCTGCATGAGGGTCTGGTTGACGTTTGCCCCGAACAAGTTCCACGAGCGCCATCCCAAAGGCGGAGTGCGACCAAGCCCGTTGTCGATGGCTTGCACCGACCATGCAGCAAGGAACAAAAGAATAGTGTGGAGCATTGCGCAGGGTGTACGGGGGGCAAGCGATTTAGTACCTGCGCGTCTGCAGCTGAGCCAAGGCGACGAATGCCTCGTGGAAGGCGATAAAACAATCGAAACTTTCAGGTTTTCACTTCACAGGGACGAGCCTTGCACTTCGCAGAGGGTCCGAAAGCTGATGCCGCCACACAGGCTACAATCGTCTGCACGTTCGAGTATGCACCTGCATCTGGTGCAATCATGTACGAGGCTGCTTTCATCTGTGCAGATCGCAGGATTTCCGAGGCCATGCTTGCAGACGGCTTGGGCCAAGGCTTTGCAGTGAGGCGCCGCATCGCCCGGATGCAGGCCTTGTCCTCAGAGTGGTCTGTCTGCAGTCGACAAGATGCGTTAACGGCTAAAGGGAAGGAGGCAAGAATGGGAAACAAAACGAGGGCCAGGCGATTGAGTCGTCCATGGCATCGTTGAAGGCCTCCTTGGAATTAACGTTTGTGGCAGCTCGTGTTGAGAAGCAGTCCTGCAACCGGGGCTACGGGCATAGACTTGGTGCCGCTCTGCTTCCAAGACTTGATCCTGCAGCTCACAAGTCAGTTTCTGTCCGGTGCCTCCATACATCGCGGCACAGAAATTTCTGCAGCACCTCACCCTCACGACAAGGTCCAAAAAGTGCCCTTCGGGCAGCCAGAGGTTAACTGCAAGCCATGGCTTCGCCATTTTCGGACCGAAGAGTGCTGCAAAGTTGCGTGTTTCTTTGTAGATCATCGCGATCCGAAGATCTGAGGATAAACGCCCTTGCACCACTCAGCACGGGCATTCGCTTGTAAGCCCGGGATCATGGCCCCAAAGAAAAAAGCACCCGCGACTACCTTCTTTCAGGTCGGTCAACCAACAGGAATACGGCGTTCAGCTGTGCCTCAAGCTGTAGTCTTGAGTCCTCGAGGTGACAGCTCAGACACAGTCAGATGACAAGCTCTGACAAGCATGTTTTGTTGGAATCCGCTCAGCTCCACACAACACAACTGCTGCCACTGAAAAAGCTATGACCTCGGAAATACACATGATGGTTTTTGACTTTGACGGAAATGTGAGTATCTGGGCAACCAGCAAACATCAACAAACCTTCCAGAAGGAAGGACCTAAAGTATTACAACAAGCAAACTGACGGTGTGGCATTGGGGCAAGTGAGGTCGCAGCATCTTCAAGATATGCTTCGTGGCCTTGAGAATACCATTCGCATGCTTCTCCTCCGAGTGTTTGTAGAATAGTCCAAGACAACAACACAGGGCTCGAAGAGCGTTCCCAACTTCACTAGATGGTCACGTCCTGTGCCGCTACGGGCTCGCAGAGCGCCTGCCAAGACATGCCATGACCACGTGACCTAGCCGTCTTCATGTCCAACACAAGCGTCCGAAGTGCCTGCTGCCCTGAAGCTGCCGCGACTGGTGAGACTTTACTCATCGTCGCAGCCTTGGCCATGCATTTCTTTTCGACATACCCTGCAACAGCGACATGCGCTGGCACGAAGAGTCCCCAGCCAATGCTCTCCGGCGACAGTGATCCTGCAACTTTTGCGCCTTATAGATTCGCAGGATCCGTGCCAGGAATCACTACATCTCTGGACGCTGGAGCTATAAGGACGCAGCAACAACAAACAATACCAGCACCGACAGTAACTGGGCAGCCAACCCATTCCAGCGGCTTCCGTTTCCCTGCCTTCTTGCCCATTGCAACAACGAAGGCAGGGACATTCCCTGAGGCTCAGGATGCATGTCGGCGCTATGACAACAAATCCACAGCTTCGGCTCAGAAGGCTCACGAACAGTCGCCATGGGATGCATGCGAATACGCTTGACAAGAACCCGGAACTCGGCGTCGCACCACCCAAGTCTGTGCGAGACATGGCAGTCAAGCGCAGAGCACCTCCTCGTCACAATTCGACTGCGACGAGCACAATCCCACGACTCCCCTCTTGGCCGCATCCCTTGCCCCTGTTGTCCTGACGTTCTGGCTATGTGAAAGCCAGACAGCAGCGATGTTGCCTCGGCCCCACATGTCGCGAACATGATTTGAGGCCACTTCTCGCCAAAATGAGGCGGCAGCGCGCACCCAGCCAGGCTGTGGAGGCCTCGACAGTTGCGAGCCGTTGCCATGGGGCGCCTGCCTTGAGATGCCCGCCTTCCCAGCAAAGCGCACCGGCTCGGCTGCGGTGATTTCATGACAATCGCCTGCCAAACCGGAACTGTGAAGCAGGCGAAAGACCACAAGCACAAGCAAGCTGGCAGCACGCATCCGCCCACCGGATGGTCTGGACAAAGCAAGAAGCGCTCCTGCACCACCTTGGCCATTTGCATGACATCCTACAGCCCTACAACTGCACCCGGCAGGCTTCAACGTCAGGGGCCGACATCACGGCCAGAGACGCCGGCCATTCCAGGGAATCTGCACACGAGCAGAATCAGAAGCTTTTCTGATGAGTTCAGGACCAGGCAGTTGCAGCCTGCAGTACACGACATCTCCCAAGGCCCGGCTGCAAGACTGAGGAATTGCCTCGCGCCAAGCCCAGCCGTCACTGAGAAGGCGCAACGCTGCCCAGTGCCGCGAAAGGCCTCGCAAAGGAGCTCGTAGGCCTCGAAGCTGGCGCTATCCTCGGTGCAGCGGCACTAAAGAGAAGAAGCCTTAAGAGCCTCTGTGGCTTTCCGACCCACAGAAGCCGTTCGTCTACGTTGTAGATTGCCCACATCACCGCCTCAAAACAATGTGGCGCTCAACGCACCGACGGCTTCTTCAGCGCTTAGGCCGCCGGACCTCCGGCGGCATATCGAGGTGCAGATCAATCCTGCCACGGGAAACTCCACTTTGGCCCTCTTTGCTAACCCGAGTAACCGGAAGATATCCTTTAGCGGCTTTAGCGTACACAGCCTGCGGTTGTGTCGGGTCGCCGAAAGCAAGTTTTGACTTTGAAGTTTCGCAGGGCAGCGTGGCCGTTCACCACAAGCTTTGGAATGCGCGCGTAACGGCCGGGCCTGGAGCAGGTGAAACCGCAGGAGCTGCCTGGCACATCGGCCGCCCAAACCTTCAGAGAAAGGTGACAGAGAGCGCAGATGTGAACTCAGCTCTGCATGTTACTGCCTTGGCAGAGCTGCTGTCGACCAGAATCTTGATCTGCATACCCGGCATACCGGGCATACCCAGACCAGCCTGGCTCTGTCAGGCTCTGTGCTCCTCGCTCCTCGCGGCCCCGGAAGGCCGAAGCAAGGCCGAAGCCTGCTCGCTCGCGAGGCTACAAGCCTCCACGATCTCTGAGAACTCCTGGAACCTGCCGGCATCATCAGAATTTCTGCGGAAGACTGCAGGTCTCTTGCGCTCTGAGCTCCGATCAGAGCCCGCGCATCGCTCTCGAAAGTGCAAGCGGCTTCTCGCAGCGGGTCCTCCGCATGCACAGAACGACGGCTCTGCAGCTCCGCGTTCATCTGATCTCCCCGGAGCTCCCTGTCACTGGCGACCTCGTGACCGGCAGGATCCGGGAGGCTGCTTGGATCGCTTCAAACGTCCAGTTCTTAGGCGCTGGACTTTTCCCGACGGCCGACTGAAGCAAGGAGCACCTAAACAGTCGAGAGCAGTGAGGTCAGGCAAAGCCAAGCAAACCAGCAGGACCCTTGTGGTCGGGCCAGAAGTCCGGCCAAACTGCCTTGCTGAGGACTCACGAACGGTTACAGACTTGAAGACAACAACAAGACTGTGGCATGTCTGACCTGCGATAAGCAGTCTCGTGTGCTCACCGTCTTTGGCAGCGCCGCCAAATCCTCAGACACAGATGATACCTCTGCTGGACTCTACCACCGCAGCTGCAAGACTATGACCAGCAGAGCGTCTTGAACACTTAGAAGTTTCTGTTGCGAGGCGTCCTCAAACCTCTCGCACTGAGATCGAGTCGGCACTTACAAACCGCACTGGTCCACAGGACTCCTTAGCCCCCTGCGATGGGGCCACAAGCCTCCAGAGACCCACGAGGCAGTGGCACGGTGCCACTGTTGAAGCCATGCCATCCAGACTAGATCAGACGTGGCTCGGCTCTCGCCTTCCAAGGCTCTAAGTCTAAGCTCGGTTTGGCTCCTCGGCTTCTTAAGGCCGCCTTCAGCGGCCTTCGCCCTTGACTGCAGATCTCAGAAAGTTCTCAAGCAAAAAGCTTCACCCCAGCTTAGCAATAAAGGATTTGGGTGGCTGACAGCCCGATCCTCCTCCGATCATGACTGATTCGTGGGCTGTCTAAGCCACAAGGACTCAAAACGGATGTGTGAAAAGGCTCCTGCTGCCTCGTGGTGCATGCGAGCATGCAGCCACTCCTGCCAGTGCAGGCCTGCAGCCACCCGCTCTAAATGGCCCACCTGAGAAAAAACTCCGGGGGTCCCATTTCTGATGTTCGCCGAGTTCGCAACCCGGGTCTGCCGCCAGGCGCTCGTGGGCTTTCTGCTCGGCAGGATCCTGCACTGAGTCATAAACTTTGCGCAGTGAAGCTTAGGCTCCTCGGAAGCAGAAACCACAGTTCAACAACGCACAATCAACCCATGTTTATCCTCTCTCACCGACCTCCTTCACAAATCGATAGAGCTTTGCTTGTGTGCTCTCACTTTTGTATTCGGGTGTTCCTCCAACTGCAGTTCTCGTAGCTGCCGGACCTCGAGGCATGTTGGATGAAAGATTTTGCACCTCTCGCTCGCTCGAGAGCTCGGCCAGCGCTGCAGCCGCAGTTCGCCGCTTTTCAGATAGTATCTGAGAAGGTCGATGCAGGTCGCTTTGGGAAGACCAGCAAGTGCCGGTCAGAGTGTAAGCTCGCGACGATCTGCTCGATCAAGCTATAGCCGACAGCACGGTAAAAGCCTCGGAGGGGTGCGTTGAAAAGGCTGAGCGCTCTTCTCTCACAGACACGAATAAGGACCGACCAACACCGCCATGGCCCGGGCAGTTTCCATCGCCTCTCACACGCCTCCAGCCCCGGTACCTTCCAACGGCTCGAAGAAAGAGAAAGTGACTTTGGGTTCCCGCCCCCGCCCTCGCCGACCCCTCTCGGATCAAGCCGTCCACTTTGGCTCCAAAGCTCTTGTTGAACCTTGGTTAGAGCAATGCTTAGAGCAAGCATCGAACCCATGGTCTCATGATCAGCTGACTCGGAGGCCCCCCGCTTGAATTCGTCTTTCAACGTGCCTCCGGAAGCGGGCTCGAAGGGCCACAAAAGTGTTGAGACGGGTGAATATAAGTAGCAGGCTGAGCGCTTCCAGCTTTCCAAGGTTCTGTGGCTGTGCACTGAGAGATCCCTGGCATTGCCATGCTCAGACTCTCAGCCTCAGCCCTCTGATCGGCCTCATCGATTGTGCCACTCCGTGCTAAACACCGTTCAGCACGGACGGGAGCAGGGACCCAGGGCCTTGGACACCAGAGGTTGCCCAACGTGCGTTTCACGTGTCTGACGCAAAGGGGCGCCAGGGTGCCCACATGCTCCCATCCTCGGGCGCTTCCGACGAGTCCCGCAAAGAGCCTCATGATAGAAAGTACCACATCCTTTTTCATTCACGGGACAAGCGCCATTTGCACTAAGGGCATTGCTACGTTCAAGACAACGGGAAGCAATCTCCGATAAAACCCTTCGCAACGCTTTGAGGATGGCTTTGGAGACCCCACAGCTCAGGCCGGAACCACGATTTTGAGAAGCAGCTGACGAAGGCGATGATGGAAGGGCAGTGCTGACAGTCAACAAGGTGCTGAGATGATTTGCCAAGCCGGAACAGCTCGTGCCTAGCCAAAGTCGAACGTCCAGGATCCGGAACGGAAAGACAATTCGGACTTCCGAAGTAACCTGGAACAGTCTCTGCGAGGATTCCTTCTCTGTGAATCGCCATTTATTGCGAGACACTGTTCAAGCCAGTGAGCTTCTGCTCCAAGAGTGCGGCCAGCCTCAAGCGGACTCAAGCATCTCACTCCTCTTTCCGCTCCAGACATGCATTCGGAAGTCTCAGATGCTTGCCCGCTCATCCTTGGTGAAAGACAAGAAACACGGGAAGGCATCTCCGTAGCCCCCTGTTCTCCTATTCATCTTGTCCCTGTCAGTTTTCGGCGAGAAGCAAAGCAGGAGAAGATTCCGCGCATGCAGCTGCGGCGGTCAGCGAGCCAAATGGCAACAGAACGGCGACAGCTGCTCTCGGAGACCTCAGCCCTGGCAGCTCACAAGCAGGCTGAGCATAAGCGAAACAGGTCGCGCACATTGGGAAACTTCAAATCCAACGTTTGCTCAGTAGGCACCTTGGGTGCCAGACAAGTAGGCATGAAGCTGTGATCATAGAAGATTCATCTCTGAGCCGGGTTCTGCAAGCCACATAAAGATCAGCACACCAATCAAGCCGATGGTGAACACACACGCCTCTGCGACTCGCTGCCACTCGCTTCCTCGCTTCAACAGTCAACATCTCTCGTGTCCTGCACGGCTGCTCCCATATCTTGCGCGGCCAGCGGCCTGAACACTCAGCGGGCAACGCAAGCCGCATGATGCCCGTGACCAGTTGACCACCACTAATCCACTCAAAATCCCCAGGCCTCTCGCTGCCAGTGCAGAGGCGCGATCTCACATGCAGAGGGGGAGCAACAGCTCGTGTTACTGTCGTGGGTACTTGTTGCTTAATGTTGCTTGTCTCAACTCTAAAGCATGCTGGAGTCGGTGTCATCTAAGGCCTGAGACTGTTAGGAACTCCCAGCAAATTTGCGTGCGCGGGTTGTTCCACTTTGACACTTGTTAAAGTTTGTATTGCTTAAAAGCTGCTTGGGGACCTTCGCTGCGAGGTACGCTGTGATACGCTATGCCAATCCTTGTGAAAGTCTAGTCCTGACATTGCTGACAAGCTCCAAAACTCGGAAACAAGCATTGACAACAAGTGAGACGATGAGCTGAGGCGGAAAGCTGAACACGAACACAGCTTCAACAGATGTCTCGCGTTGCTGTAAGGGTCTAGGCCGGCGGAGAATCCTTCTCGGGCATCCATTTATGGACTTGCCCAGGCTGTCTACGTCTACGTTCTTCTGCCTACACGTGCACGAGCTTAAACAATTGTGGAAAGTCTGGTTGCCAGGCCAGGCGAATTATCGATGGAGGCTACGAGTAGCTCCGGAACATGCCGCACGTGACAGCACGGTCGTTGGCAATGTTCTCTGTGCATGAGCACGGTGCTTGCGCACTGCGAGCACTGCGAGCTTGCGGCAGAGAGTTGTGCTTGGGCTTGGGCGACCTGCCCTCAGCTGGTGCCTCCGCCATATTTCACCCCGCGTGGGCGCAGCCTTCCCAAGCGAAGCACAACGAAAGTCTCTTCACATTCCCTGAAGATGCCAGGCCTTACGGTAATGTCACCATAGACGTCAATGTTACAACAAAGCCTGTTGGATGTTGAGTCATGGCTGGTCAACACTTCTCCAAGTGAGTGCAGCTTGCTTCCCCCTGGCAAGAGCGGCGACAGCTCTGCCTGAAGCTGGGTGGATTGGCCGACATGACCGCTGCCTCGTTCACAGATCGGACCTTGGTTCAAAGAGCAGCTGCCACTTGAAGGGACCCCCCATTAGGTTATGTCCCCTGAGCTGGGGTCAGTGAGGTTGTCGTCACCCTGCTGCAAACAGGGCGTCTCGTCAATGGCCACAACTCCACAGATAAATGATGGCAGGGAGGCCTCCATCACGTCCAGAACACAGGTGCCACAGAGCTGCTGGGCGTTGCAGTTGAAGACAGAACGAAGATCTTGATAGACCTGGCAGTCAGGGCAACCGCCCGAAAACGAGGACAATGTGCCGAAAAACCCAATGCGCTCCCTCCTGGAAACCATTCGCGAGAAGCGTCTTGCGCAGGTTGGAGCCAGGCGCACACGGAACACGCTGGATCGGCCTGGGCAGCAAGAGCAAAGACTTGATTGCCAAGAGGCCGGACTGTTTGCCTCTCTGCAAGCAGGAGCAGAGTTGCGAGCTCTCCCTCTTCCAGCACAGTCAATGTAAATGGTTGGCCCTCGTTGCCATCCTGTGATACAGGGTATCCATGTAGACTTTACAAAAGGCAACACTCTGGGCACAGCGTCCTGCTTGAACCTGAGGCCAATGGTCTTTGCCAACTCATCGACCTGCCGCGCTGCTGTTTGGACTCGACGTCATAAGGCCCTGGCACCCTGCCTCCCCACGCCACATGGTCAGGGTGCATCCAGGTTCGATCTCTGCCAGGTTGATGACGCACCTCGGACATTTAAGGCAGACACTGCAGACCGCTAATCGCTGTAGCCACAACCTCACCAAGCATCATCAAGCATCTGGCGGGTTATCTGGCTCTTTTGCCGAGTTGTCAAAGACCTGACGGTAACTGCTAAACTGCAAGGGCACACAAGGCTTTGAACATGTCTTTCTGCCAAAGCCCCTCACCCAACCCCGCTGGTCCGCCAGGTGCAGGTACGTGATATCATCCTCCAAGAATGCAAACTGGTTCACACGACCTGTATCCTCAAGCAAGAAAGGATTGTGCACTTCGTACAGCCGAAGAGTAAAAGTACTCTGCAATCAGCATCTAAGCTTGCACAGATCCCTATGCGGGTGCATGTTCGAGCTCGCACAATGCCATTACCTGTGTCACGGCATGCCTCCACCTCCACCATCTCATCCACCTGCATTTCGATCACATCGTTGAGCAACGATTCCAAACCCACACTGGCGTCGCCTCGAAGACTGCTCCTCGAATCAAGTCTTCGCCAGTTCTCGGGCCGTTGATGTCCGGCTCATCTCGAATCCTGGCCAACAGCACAGGATTCGTGATGCGAGAGATGCAGCAAGATCGCCGGAAGGGCCCGATGCCGTAAGGAGTCTCCGTGGTCACCTTGTAAAAATATCCTGCAGCACGGCACGGCACGGCTGGCACTTCACCGGCCTGTTCCCCTCCTGATCCCGGTTGGCGGCCGGCAGTTGCCCAAATCCGTTCCAAAACCTGCGGCGCCGGAGGCTCACCGAGCTCCAGTCTGCTACTGGCAGAGACCTGTGCTGATGGACTGATGGGCCTGCCCAAAAGGCATGCCAACCACGGGATCCTGCAGGCACTACGAGTGAATGAAGGTGTCGGTTCACGATCAAATACATGGTACCTGGTGGCAGCAGGCAATGGAACACGGATTGCTGAAAGAAATCGACTGGCTTCGAAAATCTTCGGAGCAAGTTTGACCCCCCCTTCCTAACCTTGGACTTGTTGTGTCATGCTCATGAACAGGACTGATATGCCAGACGCGGTGGCAGATCGGACTGCCATCTGGGGTTCTGGGATTCCCCAGTCCTGGTCAATCATCACCAGAACATCGCCTGTGCGAATTCCAGCCTTCATACCACGGCAGGAGTGGACCAGTCATAGCGAGCCCGATAGAGCTGCCTGCCTGCGCAAGGTTGGTCGCTTCAACCTGGCAAATCCCAAATGCAACCGATTTATCCGGCAGCTGCGCAAGAAAGCAGGCCTCGTTGGTGAAGCCATTGACTGTGCTAAACCGCATGGTAGCATCGGAGCCTTCGAGCGGAGATTGCACTCTGACTGCGAGCCTCTAAGGTTAAGCGAAACCGCTATTCAACACTACTTACCTCCTTCAGAGACCTTACGTTTTGGTGATGTCTGATGCACTACACAGCACCTTCAAGCCCGCATACCTACCGAGCAGCGGTGCTTCCAAGGGCAGCACTTCGTAGTTAGCTCACACAGAAGTCTCAAGCCGGACGAACCGAATGAACTTCTTAGAAGACTAAACCTTGTCAAAAGCTGAGCCACTCCAGGCAATGCCGTTCACTCCGTCAGGGAATGCTACCTCGGGGGATCAAGCCTCTGAAGACTGGTTGAAGTCTCTCTCATAGGCATCAAAAGGCCGCTCGCTGCAAATGCGGCTGAGTGTCCGTGTAAAGCTGGGCTGCAAGCCTTGGCTTCGTCAAAGCAAAAGGAAAAAAACGGCCCGGTCGCAGCCGCTCGCATGCAACACCGAGCAGGGCATCAAAGCCAGACAGGCCACGCTTGCAGACATTCATCCATCCATTCTTCACATTCATACATACATACCTACCTACCTACCTACCTACCTACCTACCTACCTGCCTACCTACCTACCTACCTACCTACCTACCTACCTACATCTAGAATCAGAGCGCCAGACACGCTCGGGCTTCTGAAGTTGCTCCATTCTGAGCGGGCTTCCCGACCGATAGACGAGAGAGGATAGGACCATGCAGCCCTTTCGAGAGCCCTTCCCAGTTCGCGACGCACCATCCTAATCCAGCTCCAATTAAACAACTGCCCAAGCAGCTCCACAAGTTCGACTCGTTCGCCATCAACCTCGGTCCTGGCATTCGACATCCCTGGACTGCGAGATGAAAAAACAAGCTGAAACCAGGGCGAAGCAGGACGGCGCGACCAGTCAAAGACCCAGCCCCGTCCATCGAGCAGCTCGAAGTAGCGCCGCCCCGCACGGCGAATCTTGCAACAGCCAAAGGCCGAAGGCAACAGCAAAAGCCCGTGGAAAGTGTAAGTCCTGCTGCTTCGGCCTAGGACTCGCTGCATGTCGCAGGGCACATGACACAACTACCGCAGTGCGTCTGACATCATAACGTATGGTCCTCGAGGTCACCAAGTGTTTCAGAATAATGATCAAATTCCCAACAGCATCCAACAGCCTCTTTCTTGATCTCGAAGCATTCACCAGGGAGAAGATCTTCTCCGGTGCGCTTGGCTCCGATGTTGGGCTCTTTTCGGATACCTGGTCACTCGCCCGACGTGTTGGAATCACTGCTGACAGATCAAGCACGTTTGCCAGAAGTCGCCTATTCCCAAATCGTAGACTACACGGTAACACCTCGGCACCGTGTGGGTGTACACGTCTCCGAGTGTAAGTCTTGCCTCAAACAGCAGACAAACAAACCAGGGCTCTTGCCGGCCATCACCTGGATAGACTTCCTGCGAACAACACAGCCAAAGACGGGAGACCAGCTGTGGGAATGGTGTAGATGATGCAACACTGAACATGACTGCACAAACACCTGCATACATGGGAAATGCAAACACACCACTGTGGGCACTCCTCAGAGATGACATCCAGTTCGCCACCCCTCCCTCGCGACGCAGACAAGTCGGAGTCCAGCCGAGCATGGCGCAAGTCTGTGGCCTCTGTCTGCAACCAGCGGATCAGAACCTCCATCCGGAGCCTGAGCTGAGCAAGCCCAGCATGCGGGGCACTCCGACCGACGTTGAAGCAAAACTTTTATTCACTCGACGTTCTTCTTTTCGTCTTGTTGTGGTAGCGCTGTAACACGCCGTTCGGCGACGAAGTAGGCTGGAACAGCTAGCCGGTGCCGGTGCGCATTCTGCACCCGGCCCGCTGTCGTTCGCCGTCCGCCGATAAAACAGATTTTGGGTGGTGACTGTGGGAGAAAGCTAAAACGTCGTTCGGCCAGAGTGCTAGCGGCCTTCGCCGTTACCGCATGTTACTGCACACATACACACACACACACACGCACACGTGCCACACGACAAGATGTGACAGCAAACTGAGGTGCCCACCCAGCGGGGCACTTTCCTCCGCGCCAGCTGCTTCGGCCCACCAGTTATAACCATATCACCGTCCTGCGGCTCATTCAGTTTTGCAGAGTCTTGGCGTCCTCAGCTCCCTTACGGCCTTGGGTGGCGGCTCGGGTGCAAACCTCCACGGCATCTCGAGACTAGAGTTCACCACCGCATGCCGGAGCAAGCTCACCAACGCATCACCCCTGTGCTATCAGCATATCTGCTAACCACTAGCTGCATTCAAAAGAGCGTGCAAACACCTCTCTGTGGCACAGTGGAACCAGGCCTGGGACCAGCTTCGAGCACATGTCGTCTTCGACCCTTTGCCTCCCGAGCAGATTTTCTCTTATCCAGCGCTTCTCAAGCAGGAACGCACGAATGCCAGACATGCACACAAAGAAGAAAAGGAGGGATTTAAGTTCTCCGGAAGAAGACGTAACAATCCTCGAACTGCAGAGCATTGGTTAACCAAGACAGGTTTCATAAGCGGCGTGAACCAAGCATCAGACAAAGGGGTGCTTTATTTGAGTGATGCTGGCACATGAGAATTGCGCTCTGTCTTACAGAGGAGCTGGCGGCTCGCATGGGCGATCACTGGCGCATGTGCACCGAGCCACAAGCCGAACTATTGGGTTGCTCATTGCTCTGTCAAATTCCGTTTCCAGATGCACGGCTTTGAAGACCTGCGTGCACTTGTCGTTATCCACCGACGACAGAGAAAGCGCTCTGGGTGTTGCTGTTGCATGCAATTGTCAGAACACTCGGCACAGCTTTCGACATCCGATCTCATTTCTTCAAGAGCTCCGGCTTACAATCTGGCTGAGAAGTTTAGGGGAGTGGTCGTGCCGCTTGCTGCCTTCTATTTCCCGGCTTTCCACTAGAATCTTGTATTGTACACCGTCGGAGAAGCTGATACCGTAGCAACACCTTGCCAATGTTGTACAGATAACCTGAGGTACACACCGCGCCATTCTCCATCGTGGCCCTTCTGTGTTTCGCGGAGCACGAAACATGACTTCATGCCGGACAAATGCCTCACAACTTCCGTTTGTGTTTTATGCCTTTATAACCTGTAGGACAGCAAGCAGCAAAGGTATGTAGGGCACTCTCGATGAATATAGTTCTTCTTCGTCGGCCGGACTTAGGAGATGCACGGTCATGCTGCATGTTCTCCCATTCGCGCAGACTTCAGGAAGGGGCCACACAGCCAAAACAGGCTGATGAGCTGATGTTTTCCCTACCCCAATCTCTCCCTAGCTGCATGGCCTTACCTGGAACCACCGACCCACCACGCATGACTCTTGGCCGAAGTGCAATGCATGTGGTCTCTTACTGAAGTCTGCCCTGAGTTACCGCCACATAGCCCACAGTCTCCAGCCCCGTTGGTGCAGCACTGCGGCTGCGACAAGCCGAACCGCACTTCTCCATGCAATCTCCGTCTTTCACCCGGTAAGCCAGTGAGCGTTCCCATGCGCTGGGGTCTTGTGCGGAGTGACACTTAACTGTCCGAAGCTGACATGCTGAGAGTTGCGAATAGTGCGATACATGCTCGGGATTCCCGGTTACTAGGCTCCCCCCGGGGGGTTATGGGGCTTTGAAGGGATGTGAAAGCTACATACTCTCTGCATCCCTCTTCCACACAGCCAAAGGGCAATGCTCAGGCGGTACCCCCGCGCAGCATGCGCACTGGGTTTGAAGGTTTGTGTGATCTTTCTTTCGCCAGGGCTCTGGGCAGGCTAGTGTGATCTCTTCTTCTTCCTTCGTTAAGGGAGCGTGCGACGCTCCCCGGCCCATAGAGCCCCCCACAACGTTCTGGGGCTTTCGGGGAGAAACTATACTGTGTGATCTCTCTGTCTCTCTTTGCTTTTGCCTCTTTTGCTTGCTCACACCAGCTAGCCGGATGCTTGTGTGTGTGTGTACGTGTGTGGGCATGTGCTTCTTTTTCATTTCGAGTGCCCATAGCTTCCACGGTCGTTGCTGATGTGTTCCTACCCTCTTGCTTTGCTCTTGTTGCTCGCTTGTCTCCTGCCTTCTGGACTAACGCCAGCGAGAGGGTAGTCACCATGGCACCCTGCTGCCATCGTCCTGTCTTTGCCTGAGCTGGCCGTTTTCATGTACTGTCTCCTTCTACGCTTCTCCAGGACTCTGAGGGACTCACGGACTGTGGCGCAGAACGTTGTGCGGCAAAGTGCCTTGCAAAGCTGACTGGACAGCAAACTCTTGCAGCGTGAAGCTACTATGAAATGCAACAACAACTTGGCGATGACTGTTCATTGCATCGCGGCTGGGCCATATTATAGACCTTCCGGGTGAAAGCGAGGACTTCTGCACTGCTGCTCAGGTCGTTCATGTAGCGGTGGTCAAAGAGCCTGTTTGATTTGAAAGGCGCTGCAGACATCGCTGCAAATGAACTCCGTTGTCTCGCCGAACGATTCAGCCGGTTCAGGATCACTGCCCTGATGTCCACTGTCGGGCATCATGATTTGACTCATGGCAGCTTGGCAGCTTACGCAACATTTGCGCACAGCATGCCCGTCATCTCATGGTCAATGCCCGCATTCTGCAGCTCCGACCGTGCCACATCAATCACAATGCAGCGGGCCGTAGGCGGAGGAGCAAAGCGTAGGGTCCATCGTGCAAGCCTTTGCAAGTCGACTTCGGCGCGACCACCGCTGCCTCGACAGATCCTGATATTGACAATGCCACAGGCAACTCACGACCAGTCCGGATGCTCGCAGAACACCAATGACACAAAATTGCTATGCAGCTGGAGGTTCGCATGGGACATGACCATGTTCAGGTTGATCTGGTACGATTTGGACCTGGTCCTGCGATGGACATTCGGCGAGGACTTGTAGCGCAGCAAGCTGCAGACTGCCAAACTCAGCTACTGGCAGGTACCTCCCGAACCTTGGCATCCCTGCGCCAGCGTGAAGCTTTCCCACTCGAAGTATCCGGTGCCGCTGGTACTGCACATGCCTCCGGTGAAGTTTTCAAGCCATTCGACGATGACATGAGCCGAGAAAAGCCATGAACAGACCAAGCTTTGCCAGCCACTCCTGAAGACGCGGCGAAGCTTTGCCGAAGAGATACACAGCATTCTGCGTGGTCACTGAAGCTACCTGCGCAGCTCAATGCAAGCTGAAGTCAAGAACCAGCAGCACCAACAGGTGGCCTCCTCAAGAGTCACGCCCTTGAGCTCTGCCATCTTCTCTGCGGCAGCTCGAATGAAACCCGGTTCGTTTCGTGCCTCCAAAGGGACGCTGGGCGGGAGCGAGAGACAGCGAGAGACAGCGAGAGCTTTCCTGTCGCGAAGCCTTCGGCCCTGCAGCTGCAAGGCTTGGGCTGTCGGTCTCCAGGAGGAGGCGCTCCAAGGGCAAAGCTTTCACGGCTTCCTTTCCGAGAAATTGGGACTGAAATGCGTTCATAATCTCTGCTGCCGCGCCTGGTACTCCCACTTGTAGACCAGTGAGGGCGGAAAGGAAAACCACAAGCGCCCGGTTTTGGAGGCTTGGACTGCCAAAGCCGCAGCCCCTTTAAACGCGTGCATGACCTTGGTGCCAGATGCCTTGCTCGTTCCAATCAACTTGAGGTGGGGCAAATGACCCAGACAGCAGCAAGGCAGACTGCCGGCACTTCTAAACCCTCAAACCCCAAATAGGAGGCGTAAACCGTAGCTGCTCCCTACCACTCAGTGGCAGGCATGAAGGCTTCGAGGCACCCCGCGTGGGGAGCATTTTTAGGGCTTGGGGATTTGCCATTCGGCAAGGCCAGATTCTTGCCACCATGCTGCTCCGCGCACATCATCATAACGAGTAAGAATATCGACCGCCTCCTTCTCTGCGTTGCGCGAGTGCACCTCAGGTGCTCAGGGGCGTTCAATGGCATTCAGCCTGTGCTCTTGTTTTGTCAGCTGCGTTCGAGAAACGTTCACAGGCAGATCAAGCTCCCGAGCCAAGTCAAGGTGTGCCTTCGAGGATCTCCGCCGATTGTCGCACAGATTCTTGCGTTCTGGTCGCACCTTGAAGAGACTGATCTGCGCGGCACGAACATCTGCCTTCCCGACTCTGACTGTAGAGGTTTCAAGGTTCGGGTGCGGAATCACCGTGCCGGGGACCTCTTTGCTACCTCTCGAGGCTGCCTTTTGCTTGAGCAGAGGGCGTGAGAAGTCCAAGCCGATCCTCAGGGCCCGGCGGAGGCTCAAAGATGTTGACATGGTCCAATAGCAGATATTCGGACGAGCACAAAGCTGAACAAAGCTTCGCTTCAACCACGACTACAGTGATTAGCATGGCAGCATGAAAGCCTACCAGACCTAGCCGGAGGTTCGTGCTCTCTGTCAAGTCGCTCTCCTAGAGCTGCAAGACCGCGCTGCCGATGTTCCGACATGATCATGTCTCCTAGCAAGGCGGCTCGTGTATCTGTTTTGCCAATTCGTGCTAGCTTTGCCGTCCGGGGCACGCGCCACATGCCAAGCTTGCATGTCGCAACCTGTAGAACGAGAACTGGAAACGGCCAGCAGGTTTCTAAGCTGTTCTGCGAAACTCCCCCAAGCTCTGCCCAGTCGCTGTCATCCAAAGGGTGGATGCCCAAACAAGCATGGATCTCTTGAGGGTGATCTTCTCGCAGCTGGATAACTCGCAGCATATCCGACGGTGAAGTGGAGCACACGAGAATGCCTGCTGCAGAACATGCTCAGCAAGCCGAAGACTGACTGTGGCGAGACATGTTGCTGGTCCTGACCAGCCTTGAACTCCGGCCGTTCGTGCTCTCGCAAGCACCTCCTTCAAGCAGGGAAACTATCCTCTACGACTCTACGATCACCTCAAGCAACTCAAAATCGCCTCCAAGTCATCTTGGAACCGCTCGGAGGTGAGATGACAATGGCAGTCTATGAACATGTCGGCCGCTTGTTGGCCAGAACGCTTCCATGGCACCAAGTCGACAGTCGACACGACGTACTGCTGCTTTGGAGATAGGCTGAAAAAGCTTTCGCCAATGGCAGGTGCCATTGGAAAGCGGCTAAAGTGTTGCTGGTGACTTCATGCAGTTCTCTCATGGTGCAACCATGCTCGGACAGGCAGCCGACGAAGGCTTACACCATGCAAAGGCCGCAGACGATGCACTCAAAAATCTGGCACCGACAGTTTGCAGGGGACAGTTTGATCCCCAAGCCTCAGAGGAAGCGCTTCCCTGGCCGGGTATAGGTTTGGTGCCTCCAGGTGCAACGCAGCTGTCAGCATCACATACTGCAGACCGTGTGCCACCAACTGCTGACATCGGTCTGAGGCCAAAGCCAGAAACGTTGTCTCCACCATTCTTATGACCAGATGCGGATCAAACTGCTTAAAACACCTGTCTGTACTGACTGTCATAAAAAACCTGTCTGTACTGACTGTCACATGGTCAGCTGATTGGCAAACATGATCGGAGGGAATGTCATGGTGCGAATTGTGGCTGCTAACAAAAGTTTGCGAGTCCCTCAGAAAGGCTCCTATCTGCTCATGGGCAACATGCTCTATGTGCGCCCATGATTGATCCAAGAAGTTGCACGTTTGAAAGGCTGGATCTTCACAAGGCTCACTCGCATTCAGCAACTGTGGCGACCCATGCCATTAAGAGATGCACCAAGGCCATTTCT